AGCTCCGACAGCGTCGCGGCGCCGCCGGGGTGGTTTTCGACCAGGTCGGGAATTCCTAGGTTGATGGCACATCTCATCATGTACAATTCGAACGCCTTGAAGATGCATTTTAGGGTATAGTTCTTTGCTTGGCTTTCTTCTTCGTTCGACATGTTCGATTTTTGATCAATTGATTTTTGCTTGATTGATGTGAGGTTGTGAAATTTATATACTACTATTATTGGTTTTCTAAAATATTATACTCGTTCTGTCTCATATTTATTTATTCATTTTTTTTCATTAAGTTTTAGAAATATTAGTATTATATTATAATGTAGCAGAAATAAAAGTAAAAAGATTAAACTGACATTTGTATAATATATTGTAAATTAGAAGAATATTTGTAATGTCAGCTAAATTGTACAATTACTAAAAAAAATATTTTGTTATGAGACTGACCAACATGAAAAAATAGATAGATTGTTAAGAGACAAATGAAGTACTCACTCCGTCGAAAGGTTACCATTTTCTATTTTCGTCCTTCCCAAAACAAGGTTACCATTTCCTAATTTAGTAATTATACAACCTACTTAATATAATAAATACCCTATCAACTTACATTATATTATACAAATGTCATTACTTTTATATTACACCATACTAATAGGGATATTTTTATCTTTTTTACTACAATCCAATATAATAGGTATTATTAAAAAATCTACGTACAAAAAATAAACGTCACTCTTCCAATGGGACGGAGTTAGTATTTAAATTTTTTAAAAATTGATTTCTTTACTAGTTACAAAATACAGCTTGCTAGAATACAGTGATACAAATCCGATTCTCGTATATATCCATTCTTACTATTAATAAATAGGGTTTGGTTACTTTGTTACATATACATAACTTTGAAATAGGCAACGGCTTACGTGATGATCGGTGGAATAATATTCATATATATGCATAATCTTGTGTTATATAAAAATATGTATTTTACAATTTATATACTCCCTCCGTCTCATAATTAGGTATCCATTTGTTTTTTCACGTAGTTTTAAAAATATTAGTATTATATTAAAATGTAGTAGGAATAAAGTAGAAATGATTAAAATAACCTTATTAATATTGTGTGATATTAATGTAATGATATTTGTATAATATATTGTAAATTATAAGAGTATTTGTAATATTAGGTAGATAACACAATTACTTTAAAGAAAAAAAAAAACAAAAAGGAAATGTATTGTATAGTGTGTACTATCATTTATGTATTGTTTGTATATATGTGTTTACTGAGTATATTGTATGGCATATATCTTACATTGAGATTAATATTATTATATTTGGAGACGGATCCATCTAATAAATTTTGGATCGTTTACATGAAAATCGGATGGTTTAGATTGAAGATTGGTAAGATCATATTTTTAAGTTTAAGAAGTTACGTGGTTTTGTAAATATGTGAAATCTGCATATATTCGATGCTGAAATATGTCAAACAATATGTTGGATATTTTATTGTAACATATTTTCCTATAAATAGTAAGATGTTGAGTTCTTTAAACTCATTAAATATAATGTTGTATAACATAATATAATATGTTTCCCTATGCATATGTAAATGTTGAAATCAACTTAACCGGATGCTAATTTATTGTATTTAATAGTAATTTCGATGTTCTAATTTGAATATGATTACTAATATAGTTTTACTATGTTTTTTAACATACCAAACGAGATTCTAATAATTTCGTTAATATCTAAATCTTGAAAAACTATAAAAATAATTAGATTAACACAATTATATCAATTATTATCCAAATTAGACTTAACATGCTATAATCCAATCCAATAAATTGTATCCAGTGAATTCAATCAAATAAATCGTATAAGGTCATAAGGTATTTACTCTTTGCATGTCAATCTATGGAATCTGTATATATTCAATGTTAAAATGTGTCAAATAATATGTTGGATGTTTTATTATAAAATATTTTTCCATAGATAATAAGATGTTGAGTTATGTATTTAAGCTTCTGGTTCTTTTTTAATTATATCGGAATATTTTGAATTGTTTTTCTAATGAATGTTGCGTGGAAGAAGAAAGGAAAATGAAGGATTGAGATAGTTAGATAAATTAGGAGAACTAAAAAATTACTATTAAATCCATATATTAATACAAATTATTGGATTAAAAATTGTAATATAATGGTTGATATTCAAAACATAATGCTGACTTTTATTGTTCAACATGCAATCCCAGCCCAATATGTGTTATACATTATTGTCAGATGTTATTAGTTCATGTATTGTATATTATAATATGATATAATAACGATAACAATTGCGAATTCTGACGTAGTATGACGTACTATAAAACTTAGCATTCTAACTTTGCCCTAATAAATATCTCTAGAGTTGGTCTTTCTTCCTCTCTATATAATTAGTAATGAGATCAGAACAAAATTGGTTGAGAGGTGGAAAATAAAATCAATAAATGGTAGTTCCTTACGTTAGATAAAAATTTTCAATTAATTTATATTTAATATTAGTCATCTGGTATATTTAAATGACTAAATTAAATTAAATATTATATATTGGAAAATTAAAATTTTAATAAAATAAATATATGGTATTTAATTATGATATTTGTATAATAAATATCAACCATTAATGTAAAATATCATACAAATATTATGTTCATATATATACAGAAGCATAATAAATTTAGCAACAAAATAAATAAATCTTATTATGTTCATATACAGAGGGATAATAAATTTAGCAACAAAATAAATAAATATTAAGTATTATAATTAATATCTTCCGAAAAATTAAATGATACAAAGATTTTGACGAGAAAGAAATACACAATCAAATCCTTCAAGAATGGAAAACAACGGTTCGATGAAAAATGAACGATTATAAAATCGTCATGTCAGTCAATCAGAACGCACCAAGTGGCACCATTCGAAAAAAGAAGCCGAGGCACCCTCCCCTAAAAATAGAAATCTTGGTCAATTCATTTGACACGTCAAGTTCATTTGAAGACTTGAGCAGAGGGTAAGTGTATGGACTCTCTTTGCAATGTTTTTCATTATTTTCATGTCCTTCATAGCGTTTTTTGTTGAAAAGTCTCCAATTTGGATAAATGATCCAATATTGGTCGACGAATCGATAAAATTAATGTTCTTCGACGTATGTCCAAGCCGGAGAAAATATCAAGCTTCAAAAGCTGTTGAAGAATATGTTAAAGCTAAAGATGAGCCTCCAAAATCCATCTCAAAGTTTCAAGGCTTTTGTTGCATTCTTCACCAAATCATCAAATTCCCCCGTCTTTGATCCGAAATTCAAATGGACACGCTACCAATTATGGAGCACAAAATCCACTTCGACAATGATCAAGGCCCCAAATTCATCCAAAGTCAAAGTTGATGATCAAAATCATCCGCATAAAGACCAAAACCCTCTAAATTATAGCAAAAAGTCAAACCGAAGACCAAATTCTTTCGAATCGTCCAAAGAGGACATCAAATTAAAAGTTGACGATCAAATCGTCCGTACAGAGACCAAAAGCCCTCCAAAGTCCGACAAAGACAAACCAAGACCAAATCCCTTCTGATAAATAAAATCATCAAAGCCAAAGCCGATAATTAGATTACCCCACACGGAGACCAAAATTCCCCAAAGTCCGGCAAAGCCAAATTGAAGACCAAATTCCTTCGGATCAAAGAAGTCATTCAAATCTAAGTTGGAAAACAAATCTAACCCGGAAAGAAAATTAAATGACTCATTTAGATAATCGGACCCACTTTAAATTCAAATTAATAAATCTAATTTGTACAAATTTTGTGTTTATTAAAAATAGTACAATTTTATATCTACGGTACCATTTACCTAATATAGTAAATATCATTACAACTTACAATATAATTACACAAATGTCATTACTTTTACATTTTACAACACAAATAAGATTATTTTTGTTTTACATTACAAACTAATATAATACTAATAGTAAAAAATCTACGAGCAAAAAGCAAACATTACTCATATGGGACTGAGGTAGTAGTATATTTATTAGTTATTGGAAGTGTATAAGAGTTTTAACATTCTTTCACTTTAAAATAAAAGTTTAGGATATTTTTATATTAATGTATGATTACTTTTTCTAAAATAGAAAATAAATACTTTGAAGTAAGATAGACGAAAATGATAAAAATGATACTTTAAATTGAGACGAAAAGAATATAAATTATGAATTTTAAAATATCATTAAAGTATATGATCATGTTTTTTAAGAAAAAAAGACAAATTATGTAAAATGAACATAAATAAAAAAATATATATTATGTGGGATGGTGAGAATATTGTAATATTGATGTTTTGGCATTGTTGTCACACAAAATTTCATAAATGGAAGTGGACCAATTCCAAAAACTTTTGACCAATAAGGTAGGATTGATATGTGCTGATTGGATACAATTAGTTTGCATCATGCCCAATTATCCAAATCGATCCAACTTAGTAGATTAAATGATCAATGTTCTTTGGTCCAAGACCATTCTGGAATTTGGTTAAAAGAAACCCAAAAGAATACAAGTTCAAGAAAATGAGAAATTAACCCAATTTGATCGATGAATTATGAAGTTTGATGTTTGAAGTAGAGAATAATGAAGTTAATTGCCATTGATAAGTTATTCAAAAGATCTAGATGAAGATAGATCTCCTCAACCTATGGACAAATGAATCTAACAACGACAAGCAACCTAATCAACCGAGTGATTCAAATAAAGTCAAATCCCATGTTCTTAGATACCCAAACTAGCCCACAGCTTCAGTCTATGTTCACAGTATTGCACCTAGTTTTCCCCAAAACAACAAATGGCTGCCTGCAGCCATACTCAAGTACGAGAAAAAGTGCAATAAACTAAAGCCCAGTTGGTATTTAAACTCAGGCATGGTGGGAGGGAGAAGACACCACCACATGGAAGAGCAGGTGAAACTATTTAAGCAACCATTAGATCTGATCACAAGTCAAATGATTAAAAAATATAGCTTAGAATCACATGGTTTTTAGTGGTCTGAATTTAGACTCATCATCTGACACTTTATGCTTTTCCCTAAGTTACCAAAATAGCTTGTTCTTGCAGCAAGATTGTGTTTCCTAACTGTAACTGCCATCCATCTGAATCCAACTGCTGTAACTTACTAATTATTATTCAAATACTTTTTGATTATGCCTATATATATTCGATGAAGTTAGCAAATATCTCATTCAACAACAATACTGAAAAATAGAACAGTGATTCAACAATGGAGGTACCTGTGATTGACTTCAGTGAGCTTAAGGGGGAGAAGAGGAGTGAAACAATGGCGCTTCTGCACATGGCTTGCGAGAAGTGGGGCTTCTTTATGGTTAGTCTGAACATTGCCAAGATTCTCGACTGAGCTTTGTTATTTCTGTTCTTATTAGAATCACAGTCTCTAATGCTTCCTGCAGATCGAAAACCATGGAATTAATAAGGAGCTGATGGAGAGGGTGAAGATGCTGATAAATACACACTATGAAGATAATATGATGGACAGCTTCTATAATTCAGACACAGCAAAAAACCTCAACGACAATGTGTATATCAAAGAAAAAGATTGGGAAACGACCTTTTTCATTTGGCATCGCCCAAATAATTGCATCAATGATCTCACCAGCCTCTCAGAGGATTTCCGGTAACCTGTGATGACAAACAAAAAAGACATACACACACATAGAGAAAATGCTAATTTTCGACATTATTCTTAAATGCATTTGCAGTAAAACAATGGATGAGTACATCAATGAAGTAATCAAGCTCGCAGAAATGCTTTCGGAGCTCATGTGTGAGAACCTGGGAATAGAGAAGAAACACATGATGGACACTTTTTCCGGAAGCAGTGGCCCTTCTGTCGGCACAAAAGTGGCAATGTACCCTCAGTGTCCAAATCCTGAGCTTATCAGAGGGCTTCGGGAGCACACAGATGCTGGTGGGATCATCCTCCTGCTCCAAGATGACCAAATTCCGGGCCTCGAATTCTTTAAGGATGGGAAATGGGTGAAAATTCCGCCTTCCATAAACAACAGGATATTCATCAACACCGGGGATCAGGTAGAAATATTAAGCAATGGAATGTACAAGAGTGCACTACACCGAGTGATGGCAATGAAGGATGGGAAAAGGCTCTCTGTTGCAACATTCTATAACCCTGCTGGCGATGCCGTAATTTCTCCAGCTTCGAAGCTTTTACTTCCCAATCATTTCAGCTTTGGAGAGTATCTGAAACTCTATAGTAAAACCAAGTTCGGAGATAAGGGCCTCAGGTTTCAGTCTCTGAAGAACATGGCCAATGGACATCGAGGTGTTCTTTCTGCTGAGAAATGATATTACATGATATATGTTATAGTAATGTTTTTCTTGTGTGCTGTTTCTTGTTTTTCTTAATTTCTATTATTATTTTTCATATTCGAAGTTTAAGAGAAGCTGCCATTACACTGCTTCCTTAACTTTTACCTTCTTCTTAAAAGCGAATGTTCAATTATGTATTACACTAAATTTTCTATGTTATGATATGTATTAACATGTCAGCTTATTCAGCCAAATTCACTTATGAATTTTACAAAACCAATAACAGTCAGTATGTCAGTATTTGAGAGATGAATCACTAAAGAAATAAATCCACATACAATAGCAAGTCTATTCATCATAACGTTGATCAATAAACCTTCAAAGAGCCTCAGCTTATTGAAATAAGCCCCAAAGTTTTCCAATGTATCGTCATACATTCAGATAAATGAAAAGTGATATGTATTATTCAAGAAGCATTCTGTAAAACTTAGAACAGATTATCTAAACTGGTTTAATCGTACATTATTTGAATAAACTACGGCCCAGAAGATTTTACATACAAATTATTCCATACTCCTTGTTACAAAAGTACCCTTTCTTGTTTTGGCATTTGTTAGTAACTTTTCAAAGTATCGGAACTCGAGGACGATCCAAATATGGAATGTGGCAGACTGCTGCTGAAGACCTTCTGCTTTGTGCCCCTTTTGCACAGGTTTTGTCTGCACATGAATTGTCAAACATTTGAGAATGTTTAAGATAAAACAAAATAATATTGCAAGTTTGTGGTGGCGCATCTAATACCCAACGTTGGTTAGTCAAACACTACGATGAGGCAATGTGTTTGTTTGTATAAAAAGACTGTGCAACAGTCTTGTAAAACAAGTGAAAACAGAGTGAAAAATTAGTTTAAATCTAGTGAGAGAAAAAGTATTATCTCTCCATGTTTTCGTTTTATGAGCTCTCATGAAGATTTGAAGCTCATACGAAGGAGGAGGAAATGGATTTCCAATAGGAAAAGAAGACTGCGGTTTAATCCTAGGATTAGAACTGCGGTTTAATCCCTAATTTCTTATACATTGCGATATAAAGAAAATTGTAGGAGGATAGTTTTGGGTCCGTATTTGTTGAGTTATTAAGTCCCTTGTATACCTTGTGATAGATTTAGTGGACGTCTCCTGGATTGGAGTCCTCCGGACGTAGGGTAGTTACACCGAACTGGGTTAACAAATCCTGTGTGTTGTTTGTTTTATGTATGATCTTGGCCAGCCATAGACAAGTATTTATGACACACACAAGAGTTATAACTACGGAATAATACCACGTGTTTTCGAAGTACAAACCCCTTCTGGTTTCCCATTTCCGCTGCCATTAGACTCGGAAGAGTTGGCCTCTTACGTGTACCTGTTCCAGCTCACGTCTTTCTTTTTACCAAACACTCTTCTTGTTATAACAAAATGTAGTCATTTTTGGCACTTCAAAGTTTTTATTTTTGTCATAATGCTATATATTGACAAAGCTCATTCTTAAGAGCACGACAACCTTCCTAGAAGACGAGTATTCTTCGAAGATAAAATAGATAAACACCAATGTATTTCAATAAATACAAGGCAATTACAAGGTCGACAATTTAGATAAAACAGATTTTTTTACAAGAGTATTGGTACTCTCTACAGCTGCAGTTAGTGAAAGCTTATGAGGCTTCAATAAAGAGGTACATTTGTTGACTAAGCACAACAGGAAATTTCCAAACTTCAAAGATGACGAATACCTGATCGAGAATTCACAAACACAATCCACAAGTTGATCGACTGAATCTTGAGTCAATTGAACATTGTGATTCAAGATGTTTTGCACCAGACAAAACAAAGACTCTGTCCACACAATTTCATTACCAATCAGATTTTGGTGGCAGGGAAGGCAGATAACTCTCTTTCCATCCTTATCTTTGGATAGAAATTTTTGAAAAAATGCCGAAACATGAGCCGGATGAAAACACTCTTTTAATATTTTGGTGATCAATTCGCACAACGGGTTGTTAATCCCTTTATTCCTTAGCATCAATGGGAACAACAATGCATATTCAGCAGCCCTTTGATGTGCCTTGCAATATTCGATCGTTGCAATCATTAGCACACGAGAACACGGCTCTTCAAGAGCTAGAAACTTAGGAAGGACAAATGAACATAAACTGTAACTTGACAAATCTACTTCATTCCCTTCATTAACATCCATGAAATGGAAAAGGAGAGACGAGGCAGTCTCGTCATCTACATTCCATGGTTCAATCAAACTCAAAACTTCCAACGAGTTTCTTCTGTTTGCAAAACACAGTTCATGAATTTCCTTCACTAATTCCACAACCTCGGATGTCAAATAACATTTTGCAACCTTTGCTTTCAGAATCTTTGCCCTGTTCTCGACTTCAGCATCAATTTTGTCCACAGATTTGGATTCATCCACATCAATTTCATCCATTACCTCATCACAATGTTCTTGTGCTCCAGTCTCTACATTATCAGACAAATTATCTTCGTCATGTCCACTGACACCCGATACAATTTTTGAATTCATTTCGTCCAGAGACATTGGAAGCCAAGGAAACATAGCCTCTGTATGTTTAGCAGCAGTCCTTAGCCAATCCGGGGGAGAATGGAAATTCTCCAACTCATCTTCTTCAGAGTCCAAAGTTAGATGAGAAATCCATTCATAATTCGACACAGAAACCAAATCAAGCAGATGTTTTGCAGCTTTCTTCACCCAAAAATCAAGACCAGAACCTTCACTCAACATAATCCTAGCAAGCTTACACAAATCTTTCTTACTGAATTTCTGATGATCATACGCAAGAAACGACAGAATCCGTGCTTGAACCATATCTGGTAGAGTCTGAATCCACATAACCCTACTTATCAAAAGCCCAACAATTACTACTTCCAAGCAAACAAATTAATCAATATATATCATTCGTAAACGCAAATAAAGAGTAATAGTTAAAAGGATTACCTTTTACCTTGAGACGGAGAAGAAGGGCTAATGTGAGTCGTGCCAGAATACTTAGTGAGCAGAGCAAGAAACGATGCAGTGGAAGTGGAGGTCGAAGACGATGACGAGTTGAATGATTTCTGCAGCCATGTCGATGCTTCAGTCTCTGGACATGGAGAATTTAAGAAAATGTCAAATAAAGGAATCCAGCACTCCATTAATGATGCCCGTTTCTCCGACAACGAAAGGCGTAGAACTGAAATGGGGATTGATTGTTTGATTAGGGTTTTGGATTTGGGAAAATCTGATGAGTCTTTTATCTTTCAAACGAATGCTTTTAAAGTGGCGGGAAAAGGCGCCTTGAGAAAATCCAATGAACAGTGGTTGCTGAATGAACAAAATCAATTTGGTGAGTATTTTTATAATATTTAAATTGATTTTGGTTTTAGAATTTTTGGTTAGGAAAAATGGTGGGCTTCGGAACAATTCAATGCGATGCGAGTCGGATACTGGTACAATTTTTTATTTATTCTTTTATTTTTTAAAATAATGCAAATCAATTCAAGAAAATAAAATATAAAAACACATGGCGAAGAATAAGACTGAATTAATCATATATTTAAATATAAAATTAACTTCTAATATAATATATTTGTTGAAAAATTAAATAAATATTTGATTTAATATTTTTAAAAAAATAATACTCCCTCTGTCTAACCTTAACATGTAAATTTTATTTTTCTTTTTAATAATTATATTTTTACTATTTTATATATATATCTTTATTTTACAATTACATTATTACTTTAATTAAAGGAAGAATTGTCTTTATACTACTTTAACTGCTCATTTTAATTAAAATAGTGTCCTATTTTGTTCGTCCCAAAATAATGTATAATTTTTTAATTTAGTAATTATATTATCTACCTAACATAATTAATACCCTTAAAACTTTCAATAAATTACACAAATATCATTACTTTTATATCACACAATCTACCGAGAATATTTTTGTCATTTTTACTATAAACTAATATAATACTGATATTTATAAATCTACGTACAAAAAGTAAATATAGTCATTTTATGGAGACGGATGTAGCATTATTTTTTAAACTCCGCATAAAAAGTAAATAAATATATTATAGCAGGAGGGAGAAAGTAATAAATAGTAAGATCGAGGCCAAAACTCCCCGAGCTAATACAAAGAATTTTACATCATACAATTAGTCTACTTAGAAAGTGAATGAAGCAAAGTAAAAAGAAGAACAAATGTAGGAATTTATTCAAATGCATATTGAACAAAGTCTCCACCAGAATGCTAAATCTATATTACTAAATAGTTTATTCGGTTGTAATCTGAAATTAATTTGAAATAGTATATTAATTTTTTTTAAAAAAAAAATTAATAGTATCTTGATATGATATTTTATAAAAATATATATTTTAATAATCTAAAAATCTTTTTATTTTTTTTTTTTTTGATAAAGTTAACTATAGTCGCTGTTCTTTAAATGCATTCTGGATGAACATCAGTCGAACCTAATAATTTTTTATTTTATTTTTGTTATCAGAGAAGATGTAAAATGCTTGCAAGCTTGCAAAAACTAACATGATTAGAAAGTTGAAACCCACATTTATATATAAATATATATCTTACTTTTGTCATGCACATAATCAATACAAATTAATTTGTTGAGAGGGATCACGACTAGTTAAAGTTTGTATTATATTTTATTTGATAAATTCAAAATGTGGACACATATGATCATGCCATCCTTAAAATATGTTTTAGTACTTGTCAATAACATTTATTTTTACCATCATTTAGGCACTTTTGTAACACATAAATTTATTCATTATGAGTGAGGGGAAATTCAAAGATGATTATGTCATGGACTATTTTTTTACCAAATTCAAATTGAAACTTTGAATTATCCTCTCTATATTAATTGAGTGTGCTTATTTTTTATATTTATACTTTTTTATTTAATCTATCATTTTTTACACACACACATATATATGAAATTTTAAGTATTTTTAAATGATCATAAAGAATAAAAACAATGATACCATCACAATTCTCATTAAAAATAATATCAAGATTAATTATTGCATTAATAAAATATTGAAGATATCAAGTTTTGAAAGGGAATGGAGAATGTTAAATCTATAAATTGGCAAAGTTTAAAAGATAATTTATAGCATGGTTGATTGTATAGATTCACGTGATACATGACTATAAATTTATAAAATAAAATAAAATAAAATAAAAACAAACACTTATTCCAAGAATGAAATAATATTGTTGTTCTATAAAGAATGCTCGAATTGGTACGATGGGTGTATATGTTATCGCCGGATCACAGATTTAAAATTTGCCGACATTATTTTAATCTTGTATGTCACAATAAACTTAACTAATATATCTTACATTAATGGTATAGTTTTGGATGATATTATCATCTATGATTTAAGGGTATTGGTATTCATTCCATTTTTTTGTACTATATTTTCATTATCTTCGATGTTGCATTTTCTATTCTTTTAAGTCGATTTATGTAATGATCGATTAGATTAGATCGATGTAACATAGTCGTGGAAGATAACATTGTATTATTTTAAAATTTTTATCAATAAAGAAACTCTCTTAGAATCTTCTCATTTTTCTCAAATTCATTCTTTAGAGTATGAATATAGATTTAATTTATGCATTTTAAAGGTTGTTAATCTCTCAAGAAAGTGGTAATACAAGGAAGGAAATGAGGTGCTTATTTGATTTTTTATTAAACAGTATTTTTTATATAATATTTTGTGAAAAAAATAATATATTTTTATTAAAAACTATGCAAAATGAACTATTGATTTTGATTTAAAATGCTAAAAGGACGGACCTTTGAATTTAACCAATAAAGCTCAAAAAGGATGAAAAAAAAAGGAAAGAAAAAAAAAAATGAGTGTATTTTTTTAGGTAAAATTTTAGTTATATTGGTTAATGTTTAAGATCATCTTACATTAGTTGTAAAATACGTATTTTATTTTTATGACGTGGGAACCTGCAACCATTACCAAATACCCTGCAAATTAGTAGTGGAAATGTGTAAGATGTTTTAATATTTTTGTCATTTGACAGTAATTATATGCGTAATGATACTTTTATAATTTAAATAAAAACTAAAGGTATTATCGTATCAGTATATAATTATTTTTATTAAAATAATAAAAAAATACTTTGGATAGAATATATAAAAATGATAAAAAATATTTTTAATTAAGATGAAGAGAGTACATATTAATCAGACTTAATCAGAATGTTTGACCACTTTTTATTGTGCCTCTTGAATGTGTTTGGTGTATATATTTTAATTAATATATTTTTATGTTATGTACAAAAAAATAATATTATATATTAAATTATTGATTTTTTATAAATAAATAATATATATTATATTGTGCTAATATATATACTTTAATTTTTTATAATATTGAAAAGAAAATTATACTGTCCAAACAAATTATTGAGTGAACAAATTTATTTTTTTAGAGTTTGTTTTCAATTTTTATTTACTCGGCAAAAGCTCTACATTTTCAATATAAACATTTCTATTTTGAAATAAAATATTATAGTCCCTTCATCCACTAATTATATATTCATTTATATTGAATACGGATTTTAATTGATATAATATTATATTGATTGATTGTGATATAAAATAAATATATTTTGAAAGTATACGAGTGAGTTAGTAAAGTAAAATATTTATATATATTGAGTGTGTAAATAGTTATGACATTTATGTAAATAAATACTATAATAATAAATGGTATAATTCAAAGAATGTGTAAAAATTATTTGCTATAAGTGAAAAGTACATATTTTTTTAATGAACATAGAAATAAAATAAAAACAACATATGTTTGATAGACAGGAGTATTTAATAAAATTAAAATAAAATATTAAAAATCATTTTTTTAAATAAAAAATAATAATAAAAGAAGAAGAAGAAGTAACGTAATTGTATTGAAATTTAAATCTTTAATTTCAAATATAATTGTAATATCATATTTTATTAAAAATCTTACCAACTAAATAATTTAAGACGTATACCAAGCAAATTCAAACAATTTTGTTCACTTTGAATTTTCTTTTATTTTTTAATTATATAATTCCAGAATATATATATATATATACATATATATATATAAATATTAGTATTTTTAAATAAAATATTATATCCTACCATTATTTTATTCAAACATACAAATACTAAATCAAAATAAAAAGAAACTACTCCATAACGCATGTCTAGTGGTGTAGAAGTTGGACTTGTGACCGCGAGGTCATGGATTACTTTTCCACGTCATCAGCAAAAAAAATAAAATAAAGAAGAACCATAATCTCAAAATTAATTGCAATTTTAAATATAAATTAAGATTTTTATTGTTTTATTCTTCAATATATATATATATATATATATACTCCCTTCGTCCCGAAACTATAGTCTTGATTGTGTTGGATGCGAGATTTAAGAAATATTGATAATATAATTGGTAAAAAGTATAAGTAAAAAATATTTTTGCCTTTGTAAATGTATTAGTGTAAAATGTAGTGGTAATTGTGTAATAATAATAAAAGAGTAAGAATAGTTATATTGTAATATGATTATTTATGAAAATAAGACTATTATTTTGAGACGAATAAAAATAATAAATAAGACTATTGTATTGGCATTAAAGCAGTATATATTATTGTCATTTTCGTGTGAAATAGGTCATGGGCATATTGTGTTTCGGTACCTTCTCTGCACCATTGATTAGTTTAACAATTTTTGGCCGTTGAATGTAAAAAAGACATACTATTATGTTTCCAGCTGGATAATTTTGTCTCTACACGTGGCGTGTCTTTATTTCTATTTCTATTTTAGTTTTGAATTTTATTATATTATATTTATTAGATGTAATTGACACTTTTTTAATAATCAATTTATTATTATTATTATTATTATTATTCATCATAAACAATGATACTACTATTTTTATTTTAATCAGTTTCGTAACAAATGATATTTTTTTAATATTTGATAAAATTTACTAATTTAAAATATATTTAATAAATATAAATCAATTTCATTAACTTTATAACACATAACATCATACACTACATGGATTGATTCAAAACTTTTTTTTTATTTTGATCTTTTCAATAAATAAATATTTTTTATCTACCTTTAAAATTCTCCATTTTTTATAAAATTAGTTTATATTAATC